AAAAGGGCCTCTGCTGCCGGCAGTCGGGAGCGGCTGCCCCCGGGCGGGACGGTGCGGCAGTGACGGGGAGGGGAGCGGGTCCACGTCTTCACAGGGGTGGCGGTTACACAGGCGCATTCTCTTTGTGAATTCACTGAGTGACGCACTTAGGATGCCTTTTTAAACATTTTAAGCTGATATTATCAGAACTTAAAGTGATAAAAAGTCAAGTCTTATTAAAGTAAAAAGTTAAATGGGAGCTTTGCAATTTCCTTGCCTGGTTTGACGGCCTCCTGGACACACATACAGTTTGCAGTCTTTCAAATCCTGAAGAATCAGATTGGAAGCGACACCAACCCTGACAAACCTGCCGAAAGTCCCCTCTCCAGTGCTTCTGGGTGTGGATGGTCCATCCTCGGAGCTGGCAGGTGAAGTCGCTGTTTCCTGCTTTGCCATGACAGCGAGCGCTCAGCCCCTGGCTGCCATCGCCCTCTCAGATGCCAGGGACACGGGCGTGTTCGCCAGGATCCAGGCTCCTCTGAGGGCACCTGGCAAAGCCCGGTGCAGGGCTGGGCCAGACCCAGGAGGAAGCCAGCACAGAGGGCCGGTCTGCGGGGTGCAGGCCTTGGGCCCTGGAGAAAGGACCTCCTGTTGTTCAAGCCCAGGCTTCAGTTCAGACCCCCTCTGTGCTGGGCCCCGTGGAGCGGGGGCTGAGCGCTGGGACTCGCACCCAGCTCAGCCAGTGGCCGCCTCTGGGCGCGGCCAACAAGGAGAGAGAGGCTGGCGGAGGGAAGGGCTGTACCCCAGCAGCTCTGTCCTCCGAGCCCTGGCGGTGACATCCACACCGTGGCTTCCCATCACTCTCAGCAGAGCCAGCCTCCTCCCCCTTCTCCCCTGCACACCCTCTTCTCCCAGCGTTAAGTTCCAACTCCCCAACCTCTTCTCTTTTGATCCCACATCAGCTACTTAAGGCGGGTGCTGGGCTACTGGCAGGGGCCTCCCACACGATACCTATGTTGCCCTTTTCCGTTCTCCTGATAACAACTGTCTCTATTAAACTCTCTGTGAACATAATTGCTGTGGTTTCTGTTTCTGGACTGGCCCCAGCCTGCTACACCTAGTCTCCTCCAGCCCCAGGGGAGCCAGAGACAGGCTGATTCCTGGCCCAGGGCTCAGAGCAGAGCAGACCACACACACACACACACACACACACACATTATGTTTTTGGAAAATACTCTGAATCAAGTTCTTAGAGCATTTTGACAATTTTCAGGTAGAGGTTCCTAATCCCGATCCTAGAGGTTTGGGGTCATCAGCTATGTCCTCATTTATTTCCGAGCTGCTGGGTGCTCCCCGGCATTCAGCTTCAGCAGGGGGGCGCAGATCTGAGTTCCCACCCTTGACAGCCTGCACATAAGACACAGGACATGGGAACAGACCAAGACGCCCGTGGACCCTGCTGACTGACAGGACCACCGCGTAAGAGAGCAGCTGACAGGACAGAGTGCTGGTCCTGTGGGTGAGAACCAGGTGGTTTTATAGCAGAGCCGGAGCTCACACAGCTGCGGGGCTCCCGGGGGGAGCAGCGTGTCAGGGCCCCATGGCCCTGCGCACAACCCCATCCGAGTGCGGGTGGAACGCGTGAATGTGACTATGTTCTGCAGCAAAAGAAAGCGTATCCACGTGAGTCTGATCTAATTACACGCGTCCTTCAGCAGCAGGGAGTTGCAGGCTGATGGGCAGAAAATGAGAGCGATCTGGGTGAGAGGACCCCACACACGTCGCTGGCTTCGAAGACCGAGGCCACGTGATGAGCCACACAACTGTGTGCGTCAGTGCTATATCAGCCAGCACTGACAGCTGAGTCAGAACACGCACTAGTGAACCACGTTAAACGCAAATGCTGTGGCTATCTTACCCTCCCCCTCCCCCGTTCACTGCGTGGCTGGGCTCTGGAGCTTTCCACGCCGGGGATCTCACGAGGCAGGTGCTGTGCCTCCCTCCCACCTCCCCCGCGAGTGGGTGTCGAGCAGCCAGTGGCAGAGCTGACACCACAGAGACTGGCACACACCCTCCCCATCCAAGCCAGTTTTCTGTTGTTAATCCTCACCCGAGGATATTTTTCCAATGATTTTTAGAGAGAGAGGAAGGGAGAGGGAGAGACACACAGAGAGAAACATCGATGTGAGAGAGACACAGCAACTGGTTGCTTCCCACACGGCCCCAAACTGGGGCCGGGGATCGAGCCTGCAACTGAGGCACGTGCCCTTGACCAGAATCCAACCGATGACCCTTCAGTCCACAGGCAGACGCTCTATCCACGGAGCCAAACCAGCTAGGGCCAAGCCAGTTTAACAGTTGCCAGCACACAGTAAAAAGATACAAACTGTCATTTTAAGAAAAAAGAGGGGGGTGGGGGCAACTGGGGAGAGGGCAATGGGGGGAAAAAGGAGACTATGTAATACTTTAAACAATAAAGAAAAAAATACTATGTTTGAATTTAAAAAATAAAGATACTATGTTTGAATTTTAAAAAAAGGAAAAGAGAAAAGAGAAAGCCCAGGCCAGGTAGGCCCGGTGGTTCCAGTGTTATGACACCAAGGCTGTGGGCTTGATCCTGGGTCAGGGCACATACAAGAATCAGCCAATGGATGCACACATAACTGGAACAACAACCTGATGTTTCTCTTTTTCTTTCTCTCTAAAAAGAAAAAAAATCAATGAATATTAAAGAAGAAGAAGATCAACAACAACATCTGACTAGTTCAGCGGAGGGTGGGGTCAGGGGAAGGAAGGCCTTTTGAGAGAAGGGATACCACCACCTCTGCCACCTCTGGCTGCAGCAGGAACCCTGTCCCACCAGCAGGGGGCTGGATGCTCCTGGAATTTCCCCGTCCTAGGGCCCATCCCTGCGGTGGCAGCCCAGTGCAGGCTGCTCACGGGCTCCTCACTCCAGTTCCTGCGTGCACCCCCCTCCCCCTCCACACCCAATTCCATGGATTCCACACTGTGGCCACTTCCTGACCCTGAAACGTCGGAAACCTGTGAGCTCCTCTCCGCAGCCCAGACCATCACTCACTCAGCCCCCACGACCCTGTTTAGAACCTTGTCTTCTCTGCTCTGCACCTGCACTTGGTGGGGTTTTGATGGCTTAGGGACGCCCCGCCAACCGGGAGCCCCCCAGGATGAGTCCCCCCGCCCCCCACCCCGGTGCCTCTGAATGAAGCCAGCGGGAGCAAAAGCCCCAGCCTCAGGCTCCACTAGCAAATGCACTCCCACTTCAG